TTGTTTGGAATAAAACACATTAGAAAGGAATGGGGGGTAAAAATGGCATTCTTTCGGGGGAGTTGTCCAATAAAATACAGCTAATAGAAGAACAAACATGATACGTAACAAAAAGTGAATCTTTAAAGGAAGATACAAGATGGTGTTCATTGAGTATAGCACTATGAATGTAAGATGTTTGTATAATATTCAATCCTTTTCTCATCCAGGGAGAATATACGCTTTAAAATATTTCAAATGGAACTGACAGTTTTGCATTCAATCTTTTATAAAGCATAATGTTCTTTATTTTCGCTTTTGCTTTTGTTATTGAAAGGTTACTTGTCTTTCATTTTTCCAGAAGTATAGAACAGGTATAAAAATACATTTCACCAATTTATTTTATGCCCATCTTAACTGATGATGAGAAGATTAGTACGCCTGAACTAAGACAGCAAAAGGATTTGTTTCTAATGTACTGTACTGATATGTGAAACGATCTACGTGTGAACTGACAATAGGGTCCTTTGGAACTCTTAGCAGTCCACTTACACATTGCAGGGCAAGTGAGAAGGTATCACTTCTCATACTCACAGTGAATAGAACAAATGGTATTTGCCTAATATATAGACTAGTGAAATGCTTGGCCTTATTGGTGTCCTGTTTCACCCTAGAGTATTTGCCCTTATATTTAATGTACAAAGTCCTAGGTTTTAGAGTGGGTGGGAGGTGAATTGTCAAGGGGTCCAAACTACACTTTTACTAGTTTTTGTCAATGCCAATAATCCACAATTGGCCAGGTGTCCAAATGACAACTTTACCAGTTTTCTTTGATCCCAATGATCCACATGAAATAATCCATGCTCTTAAATGGAACACAGGGCCAGATTTTGTAAATTAACACTTTAGTACTTTTCCTAATCCATTACTGCCCAAGAGAGCATTCACCAAGTTTTGTACTACATGTTTACCCACAACCTTGGAAACAAAGATTTTAAAGTTGCACATGCCATTGGCGTAATACTTGTAGAACTAAATAAGGTCTACGACGTAGTTAAAGCAACATTTGCAGAATGGATTTGTCGTGACTACCTTGGATGATAGAAGTCAGCAGAGCTTCACATCATTCACTAAGCTAAGGGAAAGGTCTACTTGCCTGTAGTACATCAACCACTTTGTATGAACTTACTGTAGATGTGTGTGCCCTCCAGGAGCAGCTAAACATCTCTGAACATCACAGTTTTACTGAGGCACGACTGCTTGTAGTCCAGCTCAGAGCTACTTAGGGAAAAGTGACAGCATGCAGCTGTACTAATAAAGGGTTGTCATCCTAGGAAAGGAAGTGCTTGTTATAAGGTCTGATTGAATTGAGAACAGGACATATAAAAAAGGATTCAACTTTTTAGCTTTACAAGAACATGTACAACAACATATTTGGTTTTAACATTTTGGTTTAGGTATGATTTAATCATTCTTTCAGGCTTAGTTCACACCAGAACTGCATCAGAACCTCAGGTGTTTGCACACCTGCGGTGCGATGCGGTTTGCTGCAATGTTACAGCAATTTTGCTGTGGTTTTACCGCGATTGATGCATTTTTTGTCTTTTTGTTGGGGGGGGCTTTTTCTTTTGCTTAAACTGGAATTTCAGGTGTGTCCTGTTGCGCTTGCATGCGTTTTGATGCCTTCCGTCGCGAACCGATGCAGCTAAAATAGTGCAAGCAGTACTTTTTCTGGCAGCATTGGAATGGACTAGTCTGGTGTGTACAGAACACCAGAATCCTATAGGAAAGCATTGTACTGCGTTTTTGATACAGCTCAAAAACGAAACGGACTGCATCTGGTGTGAATAGGCCCCTTAGTAGCAGGTGCAGGCACAGTTCTTGCATTTTATAGCATTCCTTGACTAGTCCTACAATTTGACCATAATACTACTGTGGTGCATTAGGCTGAAGACTTCATTGCTAGTGACCCTGCATCTGGCGAGTTGTTAAAATCGCCGGATGCAGGATCACTTAGAAGCTTCCTGTTTGTCCATATGGAATCACTCCCTGTTTAGCTGAGGCAACGATTCGTCACCCCCATCACTCACAATCGAGGTTCAGTAGCATTTGGGCCAGCGGCAGAGTAACATCTCAATGCATCTGGGCACAGAGGGAGCAGTTTTAAAGGGACAGACATGTGGCCTCTTTAGGGATTCTTCCACTGACAATTTGTCTCTAGTGCTCGAATTGCCCATCTGACATTAGCTAACGTATGCCCACTTAAGTGTACTTTTATGCCCCACCTATGCCAGGGAGAGGAGGAATAATTAATCCCAGAGCCATGTATAATATGAATGGCAAATTACAGAAATTGAGACAAAGAGGCAGAAAAAAATACAAAGCTTTTACTGAGCGTGGAGTACACAATGGTAATCACCTTCCTTTTATCCTTTGGTGTCACCAGTGATGGGAAGGTGATTACTTATGTGTCCATCAGTCCGCTGACTACCCACCAGGAAAAGTCAAACGTTGGTCCTCCAGCTGTGGTGTCTACAAATGCAATCGTGCCTCTGCCTCTGGAAATCATACCTGTGGCTGTCAGAATCTTGCAATGCCTCATGGGATTTGTAGTCTCCTCACAGCTGGAGGGCCAAAGTTTGGCTACCCTGGACTACACCATGCAAGACTCCATTTATCCAATACTTCACCAACTGAAAAAATTACACTTTATGGATCAAACTCACAGAAAGTCATGCTGAATTTAGGAGACCATCGTCATATAATTTGCCATGTTTCTATTTGGCTTAACCTACAGTGGTTTGGGCAACTTTTGTTTTATTATCCTAAAGTGCATGTAAACCCAATCACTAAATTCTCACATAAGCTATAACATTGTCAATTTAAATATTTTTAAATATGCTTTTATTTAAAAACAATATCTGGTGATCCTGCCAAGAAGATCCTCGTGCTATAGGGTGACAACTCCTTGTCCCTTTCTCCCAATTGTGCTCCTGCATTGTCACCCTGTCGCATGGTCTTCCAAAGAAGATTACAGACTCTGTTTTGACACACATTACATAGACATGGTCCACTATTGTTACCATCGGAAAACCCGCCCTGGGAAATACCATGCAGTCATCGCTGGAATGAATGCATGTAGAAAGGCAATGGCTGCAAAGAGGCTGCAGAAGGTTTTTGAATCGCTGAGATGCAATGGGATGAAAAAAGGTGAACACAAGTATTTTTTGAAATAAAAGTAGCAATTGTGCCATGTCATTCAGTTAGGGTTTACATCTAATTAAATATATCCCTCTTACTTACAGATGAATAATGGAGATACTTTGGCAGACCTTAAATGCTGATGTGAAAGAAAAAAATAAACAGTCTATATACACGACAATAGAGAAGTCCGTGCAGCCTGGCTACTTATCACAAGTGATTTCATGCTCTCGATCCCGGTCCAGCTGATTGTTCTATATTTTACAACCCTCTGCCTACGTACGTGTTACATTGAGAGTTCCCCTAGTTATACAGTTTATACAGTAGGAAAAGCTGGCTGCAGATGGCTTGATGCTGCATAAGTTCCTGGAAACAAACACAGATTTTCCTGTGTTTGATTTATGCTTGATAAAATAGTTAAGTATCGCTGCTTACTTTAAAGCAGGAGCACAGCTTGCACAACATACTCCAAGAACCTACATACTCTGTCAACAAAACTGGACGGTTTTGTACAATAAATTTGCTGAAACTCCGGGTCTCTCCATCTATCATCCTGAGCCTGGAAAAATCTATTATCATTGATTGATAGCATGGATGAAAAATAATGTTCTTCTTTTCGACTCGCTCCAACCTTACAATGGTTTGAAAGTGCTTAAAATTTACATATTATAATTAATTGCACTCTGTACCTATGTATATATGGATAGATAGATAGATAGATAGATAGATAGATAGATAGATAGATAGATAGACAATGGATGGATGGATGATTGAATGGATGGGTTGGTGGATAGATAGATAGATAGATAGATAGATAGATAGATAGATAGATAGATAGATAGATAGATAGATGGGTGATGGATGGATAGATGAATGATAGACAATGGTTGGATGGATGGGTGGATAGATGGGGGATGGATGGATGGGTTGGTGGATAGATAGATGATAGATAGATAGATAGATAGATAGATAGATAGATAGATAGATAGATAGATAGGTGTATGGATGGATGATGGGTGGATGTATAGTTAGGTTGATGGATGGATGAATGATAGATTGAAGGGTGGATGGTTAGATGGATGAATTGGCGATTGGTGGGTTGGTGGGTATATGAATAGATAGATAGATAGATAGATAGATAGATAGATAGATAGATAGATAGATAGATAGATAGATAGATAGATAAATGGGTGTATGGATGGATGGATACTGTGCATATATACTGTATATACACACACATTTCATGTTTTTTTTAAATCTTTCTCACATGTTTTTAACCCATTTTAGTTGAAGTGAACACTATTGTGAGATTGTGAATGTAGTAGGCATCTTCACTTTATGGACCAATACAATTTTGCAGTCACACACAAACAATGTAAAAAAGTATATGTCATCCATACAGTAATACTCAGATCCACAAGCGAATCATTTATTTAGCGTATATCATAAAAATAAACACAAAGTTACGTTCATATTTGCTTTGCGTGTCAAGTTTATAAATTCAGTATAAAAAAGATCTGAATATAAAAAGTCTTGCATACAACTGCATGCAATGACACTGGGATACGTATTAACACTTCATGCACAAGTCCGCCGATAATGCCGCTGTCATATGTGTCTGCAGCAAACGAAGGGTTAATCTGTTAGTTGGCAAGCGCCCAATTTGTAAAGCTGGATTTTGCTGCAGATTTTTTTGCTAATGAAGTGAGAACTATTCCTTTCAAAAGCAAAATACCTTCTGTAACAGCTGGGATTCTACCCCTGGGAGAACCGCAGAGCTTGCAATCAATAATGCAGAGCTTGTCAAGGATAATCAGCTAAGGTCTTTAGGACCGCTCAGGAATCCTGGAGTAGAGCTAGTATAAGGTTTGCAATCTCTTGTTTGCTGGCATTTGGAAATCTTCTCTCCAAACAGCAAGACATCTCTCTCCTCCTCCTTGTGTGTGCCAGCAGCACCCCCAACTCTGTCCGGCTCCCCGCCTGCTGCTGTGTGGTCAGGATAAGCCTCTCCCCACCCCACCCAGAGAAGAGAGGTCTCTGGCTCGTCCTATTCCAGCATGTATCCCCTCTCTGACACCTCAGAGCTATGTGTTTTGCAGTAACTTGGAGGGACAGACTGGTCACTACAAGGACAGCAAGGTCCCCACCCATCATGCAATGGTAATTGGGAGTGATTGATGCTGCCTCTCAATCCCTCTCAACAAATCTCCATTCTAAATACAATGAGAGCAGTAGCTGCTGTGCATTTCAGCACTCTGGACCAACAACATCTCCCCACGCTGCACATCTGGAGGCCGAGAGTGGAGGGAGCTGTCGGAACATCTGGAGCTCACAGCCAGGAAATCAACTCTTGATTTTTCTTCCCTCCTCTTTTTGGTATTGTTTGGTTCATTTCTGTCTTTCTTTTCAGGATCTAAAAGGATAAGATTCACTTTATTGCCCAGAAAGTCCTGCCACAGACATAGCATCCAAAGGGGGGGGACCCTGCTGGTTTTTGGCATGTATAATAGCGGCTGATGCTCTGCTGAACTCTTTGGATACAGGTGCAGCCAAGGAAGGAAAGGGAAGGGGGGGGTTCATTCTCCTAAAAAGAGAATCTGGATAAAATACTTCTGTTTGCTAATGAGCACCGATAAAAGGATTATAACTCCTGAGACAGGGACTTCCCTCTAATTAGGACACAGAAAGACTTCTTTCAGTAAGTACATACTTTTTTCCTGAATGTCTTTTGCTCATTTGCATTTCTTTTATTGCTGAAATGTTCCAGGCACAAGCTGCAAGCAGGAGATTCAGGTGAACTCCCTTAGGGGGATAAGCAGGGGATGGGGGAGAGAAGATTCTTTCTTAATTGTTCCTTATTTTTTTGTCAAGATGAGCTTTGAGGATGTCACTCTTTGAGCAGGTTTCTGTATCTTTGCTCTGTGTCTTGCTGCTCTGTGCCAGCTCCAGCCTTTGAAAGAAATTCCTTCTGATCTGTGTTATCAACATGAGATGTGTAGGTGAACACAGCGCAATTGCTCTTTATCTTCCATATAGATAGCGTGCATGCAACCAGCTCTAAAGAGACGGAGCTATGTGAATAGAGAGTTGAATCTGCATGCAGCCCTATACTATGCATATTAGAAATCTAATTTGGGCAATATAATCTGCATAAAGTCATAGAAGGTTTCTGTCAATTTATTAATGTATGCATCGGTGCCGTTACTACAAATGAAGACGGCACACAACGGCGTTTAAAGGGAACCTGTGCTAAGAGGAACCTGGAGGCTGCCATTGCATAGGTACATAGTTGATAAGGTTGAAAAAAAGATACAAGTCGATCTAGTTCAACAGTGCATGTGATCTTGACTCTCTAACAATCCCCATATAACATGCTCCCTTGCGCGTCTTCTCTTTTTCAAAATGCCAATCGCCTGGCTGCCCTGCTGATATGACGTCTCCTTTTTTAAGTCGCCGACCTGGAAGCTGCATTCAGATCAGGCGCTCCAACCTTGGTCTCACTTCATTCACTGCATGCTTGTTCCAGGTCAGGTTGAAGTCAGAGGGTCAGCATTAGAACCAGACATATAGCATTTTTTATAAGGAGTTCAGCAGCCTCCAGGTTTCTTTCATCACAGGTGCCCTTTAATGACCCAGGAGCTGCTTCTGTACAATGTACAGGCTGGGGTATAGGTGGCTTACTGTACTTGGGAGAGCAGTACTTACAGTTTGGGTAAATGACTCCTTTATCCACCTCCTTAGGAGTCAATGGATGAAGTCTGAAGTCATGAAAGAAAAGATGACATGTCATAAAATCACAATCCATGAGAAATCAAAACGTCTTTAATTCCTAACTTGAAGCTGGTGCCGTTCTTGCAGCCATCTCGGAGCGCTGCTGATGCTCCAGTTTTTGCGAGGCTCTGTTGTACGAGTGGCTGTCTGTAAAGAGCACTCCGACCATTAACATCTCAGCATCCACACAACATTAGCAGGCAAATTGCTCCCTAAAGGAAAGCGGCGGGGACATCGGGCGCCACCTAGTGGACAAGCCTGGTAGAGCGGCGCTGCTGCCAACTGGTTGCATGAGCAGACGAAGCAGCACGATCCTGAAAGGTGGCCAGGAGACATCAAGTGCTCCGAGCTGTTTAAATTGTGTTATTTAACTTGCTTAGACTTTACACATCGCCACAGCAGAAAAAAGAAAGAGAAGAAAGCATTTCTCCACTGTAGAGCAGGGAAGAAATTCACAGAGAGCGTGATCTTTCTTAATGTAAAGCATTTGTTTCTATTATTACCATTGCATGTAATTGGGTATTCTTTGCAAAGTGACTGTTAAGCTAAGGGGAAATACTCTTGCCAAGTGGGAATTCACTTTGCAAAGTGAACACGCTCTACTCCTTTGGTAAATCAACCCAATTGTGTGCACTATATTAGTGTGTTTATTCCATACAGTGCACACTACACAGGACAGAGATATCTAAGTGCCAAGCAAAATATGCATCTGCATCGTCCATAAGAATATCAACAAGAATATCAACGGTTTAATGATGACACATGATGCCGTGTGTAGGGAGCAATTCGAGTAGAACCCCAAAAAAAACCCAATAGCAAGGGAGACTCCTTTTACCAAAGGAGTCGTTTTTTACCCTAGCTCCTACCTGATCTAGTTTAGTGAAAATTCCTAAGCTTAAATTCCATTAGCTGACTGGGTATTTCAGGTGAGCACATACTAGAGTTGAAATTATTCCATGTATGGTTTTAGCAGGTGTCTGATCAGAAAAAGAATAACGCAATGTACAGAATGGCATGCCAAGGGAAAATTAAAATTATATTTGTTGTTAGGTACATCTTAAGAAAACTTTTGTGACAGTCCAGTCTAGATATATAGATTGGAAGCTCTCATGGACAGGGTCCTCCTAACCATCTTGTCTTGAATTGTATTGTAATTGTAATGTCTTCCTTATATTGTAAAGCACTGCACAAAGTGTTGACGCTATATAAATCGTGCACAATTATATATATATATTTTTTTTTTCTTCTCGTCTGTGTTGTCATAAAAGTTTACAGAGAGAGAGGAAAAATAGATATACATATAGGGTATATATTTATATATATATATATATATATA